AATTCCTCAGTACTCTGAGGATTCTTTTTTCTATAGAAAAAAAATCCTCAGTACTCTGAGGATTCTTTTTTCTATAGAAAAAATCCTCAGTACTCTGAGGATTCTTTTTTCTATAGAAAAAAATCCTCAGTACTCAGAGGATTCTTTTTTCTATATAAAAAGAAGAATTCTAGACAAAAGAATCCTCAGAGTACTGAAGAATTTTTTATGGAAAAAAATCCTCGGTACCTTGAGGATTCTTTTACCATTGAAAATCCTCAGAGAAATGAGGATTTTTTTATAGAAAAATAATCCTGAGAGTGCTGAAGATTTTTTTCTCAATCAACGCGTTCATAAATTTTGAAGAATGTCTCCTCTCCTCGTTGTGATCTATGCCAGATTATTGGAAACGTTTTCGTTTGCCGACAACTTGAAATTGCTTTAGGCTAGCGGAAATTGACTGTATTTCAAATCCATTAATAAACCTATATAACAAAATTTTATTTTGCACACTTATGTGGCCTTAGGCATAACACTAAATTTTTTAAATCAACAACTAAGAGTTTTAGGTATACACATATGACAAGGATCCACAAAACCTTTGTTTGTGCCATAGTCAAATATTTATGTTTGTGGTGTAATAGAATTTATTTAAAAAATCGTTTAGCATCGTCGATGTTTTTAACACCTTCAGATTTATACTTTGCATTCATTTAATTAATTAATCATTTTTTCACTTCAGTTTCCTTTTTACGCTTGAGTTTCATTCGTTTTGTGTGAGATTTCGCAACGAAATTTAACAAAAATTAATAAAAAAGAATTCAGACGCATACTGAGTTGTTGCATGAACGTTCTCATTTATATTAGAATAAATTTATTATCATTTGTTTTTAAATATGTTTGATTAAATAAATTACAAATTAGCAGTTGATAATTATTTCCTATATACTGGTTTGGGTTTGCGTTTTTAAATTTTATTAAAAAAAAAAAAAATAATGCAGTAGCAATGATATTGTGAGAATGTTTCGTTGTAGATTTAAATTTTTTATGCGAGGAAATATATTAAGCAAATATTATTTAAGTGATTAAAGGTAATTGTTCCAAGTCATAAGATATAGGTGTTTGAAAAAAGAGACCCTTTGATCGAATTCCACCAGGCTCCCTTATTCTAAATATCTTATATTCCACCTTAAACATCTCTCTTCGTGCCTATTCTTGACATATTATGAACTTAAAGTGGCAAAAACACTCAACTCGACCGTCTTTCAATATCAAAACCTATACATTTTTCCAAACTTCACATTCTGTGGGAATAATTTTGAAGACAATTTTAAGGCCGGTCTATATTGTGCTGCCTCTTAAGAAGAAATTAAAATTAACATTCGAAATATGAAATAAAATATATGCCTAAAATGTCGTTCATTTCCAGCACGATATAACGTTTTATTTGACATTTTAATTTAAAGTATTTAACATAATTTATCGCCAAAGATCTGTGTCTTTTGTTCGTGACAATTTGATGCGGAACGGACCGGTTTCTTTTCTTTGAACTATACCACATGTATATATGTTTTGATATTATTATCTTTGGACTCAAAAGTTCGTAACAATATTGGCTTATCACGTGTGCCGCTATACTGTCAAAAACACTCATATAAATAAGCATATTTGCTTATCCGTTAACGCCTTTAATAGATCAAGGTTTCTGTTCAAAAGACTATGAGATATTCCTCTCATAGAACTCGTATCTATTGATATATATTTTTTAAAATTTCGTTTGTGTTATTTTTTTTAATATCGTTAATGGAAACAAGACTTTTTTTAAAATGTGGATGTAAGAGTACATATTGAGAAAAGTTAGAGTTGTTTAGTTGCGGAATTAACTAGTTATTGCAATAAAAGAGCTATAGGGACTAGGTCCAATTCTTTAGTTCCTGTTGTTCCTTTTTGTGATCACGTTCCTTTTTATAATCATGTCCCTTTTTCTGATTTCGTTCCTTTAGTTGATCACGTTCCTTTTTGTCATCTCGCCCCTTTCCCTGATGTAGTTCCTTTTCGTGATCTCGTAGTAGTTCCTTTTCGTGTAGCGTTCCTTTTCGTGATCTCGTTATTTTATTCCCATCATTCGTTCCCGTTCGTTTTTTAGATGCTGATACATTATGAAGACCAGTAAGGAAAGTAGTAAAGTCGGACGGGGCCGACTATATGATACCCTTCACCACTTTGAGTATATTCAACGGATGAATCCTAACAGACATCGCATTTTTAAAGGACCAGTAAAATGAAATCGGAACCATAAACACGTCATTCTGCAACCGATACTATATTGTTCATTTAGTCAGATAAAGAAGCTATATCTAAATCTGAACCGACATCATTCTAGACCTAAAATTTGGTTCAAGAACCTCAAAATACCGAAAATTGGGGGTACCCTTATATGGGGGCTACCATATAAGGGTACCCCCAATATTTATTTAGTGGAGAGATTTGCTACCTAATAAGAACTCGACGTACTAAAGTTAATTAATTCGGTCGAAAAATACGATCAGAACCCCCAAAATACCAAAAATTTGGGGGTACCGTTTTATGGGGACTACCAGAAAAACTGGACCTATATTTATAATTTTCAGTGGAGTAATTTGGTACCCAATCAGAACCCAATGTACAAAATTTCAGAGAATTCAGTTATAAAACGAGCCCAAGAACCCGAAAATACCGATAATTGGGGGTACCCTTATATGGGGGCTCTCCGAAAAAATGGACCTTTATTTATAATTCTTGGTAGGGAGATTTGCTACCCAATAAGAACTAAAAGTACCAAATTTCAGCGAATTCGGTCGAAAAATGCGATCAAGAACCCCAAAATACCGAAAATTGGGGGTACTCTTATATGGGGCTATCCAAAAAAAAAAAAAAAAAATGGACCTTTATTTATAATTTTTGGTAGGGAGATTTGCTACCCAATAAGAACTCAAAGTACCAAATTTCAGCGAATTCAGTTAAAAAACGCGCTCAAGAACCTCAAAATACCGAAAATTGGGGGTACCCTTATATGGGGGCTATGCCTAAACGTGGACCGATTTTCTCCCTTATATGGGGGCTATCCGAAAAAATTGACCTGTATTTATAATTTTTGGTGGGGAGATTTGCTACCCAATAAGAACTCAAAGTACCAAATTTCAGCGAATTCTGTTTAAAAACGCGCTCAAGATCCTCAAAATACCGAAAATTTGGGGGTACCCTTATATGGGAGCTATGCCAAAACGTGGACCGATTTTCTCCAATTTCAATAGGGTTCGTCCTTGGGCCAATTAAGTGACCTGTGCCAAATTTCATTCCATTCGGATCATAAATGCGACCTGTACTTTGTTTACAATTTAACATGGACAGACGGACGGACAGACAGACGGACATGCGTAAATCGACTCAGAAAGTGATTCTATGCATATTCTCAAAAGGAACCATGGGTCTATCTCGATTATTTTTGCCTGTTACAAACATATGCACAAAGACATAATACCCTGTACCACAGTGTGGTGAAGGGTATAAATATATAACTAGTTCCATTTAAAAAAAGAACCGAAAAAATCGATTTGCTCGTTTTGACGCACGCTGTGGAATTTTTTTATCGGCAGAACTTCTATTCATTTCATGAGAATTGTTTTAATTTCACTGAATTGGTTCTGACGTATGCCTCTTAAAAAGTTAATTTTAAATTTTCTTTGAGCTGATTCTTTCATCCTTGTCAGAATCTTCAGACTTTTGCAAATGAATTAGTTCAATTGAACGATGCACTCTAGGGATATATTCGTCGAGTCGAGCGCAAAAGTTGACATTTCACGTTTAGCCTTTGATCAAAAAGTCGATTTTAAGACTTGTCGACTTTTGCCTTTGACTAAAAAGTAAACTTTTCGTTCTTGTCGAACCTTTTCAAAATCGATTTTCGACTTTTAAGGACTAAGGCAAAATTTACAAAATTTTTTATATGAATCGTTTTCAGATAAAATAGAGTCCTGGAAGGTGTAATTTTTGGGCAATTTGGGCTTTAGGGTAATTAACCAAGAATTTATGAAGAAAATCGAAATTCGTTATTGAAAAGTTGAATTTGTGACTTGCTCAAAGACCAAAAGTCGATTTCGACTTTTAGATTTTTCAAAATAAAAAGTCGGCTAATCGATTTACTTATCCATATCACTCAACATAATGTATAAAGTAAATCGGGTAGTATAGCTCATTATAATTCAATTAATCATCTGAATAGATATGAACCTCTGATCCAGGTGTGTGGATCATGAACGAGATAAAAGGAATTTAATCAAAAAATCTGACAAGCTGAATTCTTGTATACATATTTTATTATTCATATTACAGATTTTAAATTGCTTAAAATAACTTATTCCTTGAACTTTGTTATCTAAAAATAATTGACTGGCGTTTCACACTGGACTCACACAGTCTTACATCTGTCTTTTGAATCTGTTAATTCCAAAGATGACCTTTAGAAAAATATATGCATCTCTGTACCAAATATCAAACACAAAAATCCCCCTATTAATATTCAAAACAAAGTTATTTTTGTATATTTTTTTTATACATTTATTTGTGCATGATTTTTTCTTTTTTGATTTCGTACAAAAATAAACATTTAACGCATTTAACCTAAAACATAATACAATAATAAAAACAAACTAATACTAAAATTTATTTGTAAGAAGAAGAAGAAAAAAAGAAGAAATGAAAACGAGTTTCCTGTCGTTTGTAAACCAAATTCGAATGCTATTATTTTGGTCATGGACAAGATGGAGACCTTTAATTTTGTGGCAGAAAGAAATATGAGACCCTAATTATTGGCGACTCTCTGGGTGCAACTATTGGTGAAGTTTTTTTGTTGACTAGTTTCTTAACATCAATCATTTTGTTGCCGCCAAAGAGTTATTGGGTGGATAATTACTCAATCTATCTCTCTTATCAACATCGTTTCCTCCTCTTCTCTTCGTCGTCCTTCCTCCAATAGTTTAATACTTAAATTTACTGTCTGTATGTATCATCAGCTGGAGGATGGGAAGCAATATATTCCAAAGCCTTAAGGATGGCCTCTGGTACAGGTGGTGGTGTGGGCAAATGATCACCAACGGGTTGGAAACCATTTTCATCAGCGGTATAGCTAACGTAGAATTTTTCACCTTCAGGCGATACGAATTCATAGGAACCAGCTACACCAGCGGGATTGCCAGCTTCTTGTTGTTGAATACCATTACTGGTCTCAAAGGCGTAGGCATAATTTCCTTCAGCATCGGCGGGATCATTTTTGAAGCTCAAAACTTCGGCATCCTTGTTGATGTTATCGGCATAGGCGAAAGCCAAGAGAGCGGTCAAGACGAACTGAAAAAGAAAAGAGAATAAATAATTAGAAAATGAAATTTAATTAATTTGAGAGGTGCTGAAAGCTAATAAGAATCTTGTAAAAAAACCTATTACAAGATTATTTGTTCTTCAAATAAACTTCGGAAGAAAAATAAATTAAATTATTTAAAAAAAAAATTGAAATGTTTTTAATTAAAAAAGTCTTGTTTTCATTAACGAAATAAAAAAATTGTTATACAAATTCTAAAAAAAAATCGCGAGATAATAGTTTAATGAGAGTAGGAACTCGCAATTTTTTTATGAGACCTACGTCTTCTTCATTAAGAAATCTTGATTGTTCATTTTTTCTCAGTGTAACAATGATCCACATGTTTTTTGTTTATAAGACGTTGTACTAAATTTCTTTTAATGTCATTTTATTTATTATTCACATAATAAATCAGCAGTCGTGTATATATTTGTTTTATCTTAAACGTCATTTTCAATGATTCGCCGATGGAACCCTGAAAAAAGTGAATGCCAACCATTCAGATATCTCATTTTTGCTGCTCTATGGCATACCAAAAGAACATCAACATTGCATATGGTGGAGATGCGATCGTTGGTTGAACAGGTTCTTGAAATTCTTGAAGAAAAATATTGGTATTTTGCAATAAATGATTGTGCAAAAATAAATGAAACTTCCAGGTGAAACAATAAGTATAATGTCAGCCATGACAAAGGCCTTCAAAAAATGATTATAAAAATTGAAAAATAATTTACTACTTCTATGGCTAATTAGACAAATAGGGTGTTAAGAATTTGATGCACAAATTGTGGTAATTTTTCGCAAGTGAACAAGAAAATAATAACTCAATTTTATATTTTGAAAAAAAAAGACATGTGCTTCGGATTTCTAGCATTAATTATTTAAATATTCAAAAAACTAGTTTATTTAACTTTTTCAACATTAATCTATTTCTAGTTGGCGATTTGAAAGGGAAATAAATATACAGTATTTTTCGGTTAATTGCACATCAAAATTTGCACAAATTTTTGTTCAATTATTTTTCCGAACCCGCTTACTTTGAAATGAAATATTTTTGACCCATCATGTGGTTCAATTAAGCGTGGAAACCAATTAACCGTAGGTTCAATTAACCGAAAAATACTGTATTTTATAATAATACTCAAGCCGAATTTGAAAATCAGCTGGCTATTTTATTTTGCACATGGCATAAGAAATCATTCTATATTTTTACATAAATTTTTCATTTCAGGTAAGCGGAACCATAGCAACTAGTTTTTAATAAATGAACTCCCGGAGAAAAGTACATTTTAAATCGATACGATGGACCGTAAGTATAAAAACAACAGAATTAAAAAAGTCTTGTTTCCATTAACGAAATTTAACCATCGATTTATTCAAGGAAATCCAAGTCATAGTATCAGTATTAAAAAATGTTATGGGGCTATTTATAAGATCATAGATTTGTAAATAATATTTTATGACAGTCCTCCAAATATTTGTCAAGAACTATATAGAACATTTTTAAAAAAATACACTATTAGATTCATTAAAATACGCCGCCTTATCCATAGTTAGTTTCCGAATTATTCCTAAATCCACAGTATAGTATATCCAGATTTGGCGCCCAAAAATTATTTTCTGTTCTTATTTCTCAAAAGAATTGTAGCAAGCTAAAAATTTTGTCAAATGAAGATACTATGTCATACTATAAAAATTTTTGTTGGGTGGAGACTTTTCACTTAATTACACACTTTCAAAATTAAACCAGTGAGCAGAGCAGTATAGTCGGACGGGGTCGACCATATGATACCCTACACAACTTCCACGAAAATCTAACTTTCTGATTTTGGCAATATTTCGCCATATTTGCACCCTCTTGACCGACTAGAGGTCAACAAATATTACTTATAATTAGAACAGATTCCATTCACGGTGGGTTGTGTTGTGATGTTCGGCTTTCAACTGTGGCCTATAAATCGACTCGAAAAAAACCAAAAATTAAGTTTTTGGTTCACTTCATCCCAAAATTTTTATCTGATCATTATTGAAAATTATAGGCGTTGTCCTTGACCAGAACTGGAATATCATGGAAAATTTCAAAGCGATCAGCGTTATATTTCTGCCATCTAGTAGGGTAATGGGTTACTAAATACTATATCGATACGTAAGCAGCTGCAAATATTTAAGTGTATCTCCCACATCCGAGTACATACGACAATATAATTGGTATCAATTTAAAGGCCAACCACTCCTCTTGGATATACTATCAACTTCTCGGGCCTATGTCCTTCAAGAGTAAACATATACGCCGTAGAATACAAATTTTGTCATTTTTTCACACAAAAGTCGGGGTCAGTTTAACCCTCTAAATATTGACCGATCTTTATGAAAACAGGCATGCTTATTCTTTGGCCCAATTCCCTTCTCTATGTAAAATTTCGCGATGTTCGGACCATAATTCAGCCTCTAGAGCGGCCAGAAAAAACCGACAAAAATTATGTATTTGGTCTATTTCATCCCTTAAATATTTACCGATCTTTACCAAAAAAAATAGGGGTCCTCATTGGGCAGAACCTATCTTACATGCAAAATTTCGTGAAGATTCGTCCATAACTGTGGCCTGCATCGTGTTTACAAATTATAATGGACAGACGGACGGACGGGCGGGCGGGCACACATGTCTAGATCGACTCAGCTAGTCGAGATATGACGATCGGTATACATAAAGGTGGATCTACGACAAATATTTCGCGGCGTTACAAACTTTTGGGACTGCACAAAGTTATAATACCCTGACAACATAGTTGTGTAGGTTATAAAAAGTATTGTTTCCATTAACGAAATTAATTTGAAATAAATATCAAAGCTGTATCCGTTTTGTATTTAAAATATAAAAAAAAATTAATGTTTCAATTCTATAAGCCTGAAATCAATTTCATTCTTCCAAAAATGGAGGCATTTTAAGTTCCTAAAAAAACTTGTTTCCAACTTATTTTCTCTGACTAGTGATATTTACATAACAAAATACATATCTACACTTAATTAATAATAATTTTATATTTTTGTTTTTATTATGTGGAATAATCTGAATAACCATATTTGACTGGTTAAAAAATGCATGCTCAATCATAAAAAAATAAATAATCAAATGTCTACCAAAATGAGATGATACAAAACAATGCATACTAAATTGGGTCATTAAGAATCGGTGTGGAATTTTTGGAATCAAGCATTCGAAATTTATACATATTTGTTATTGAATAGTATTCGCGTTATTAAAATATTATATTATTTTAAAATCATATTTGGTTATTTTATTCTTTGTGGGAATTCAATACGACCCACTTGATTATATTATGCACCAGTTGACATTTCACGCTTCTGTACTTAATCTGCTGTTTGTGTGTTACTATCGATGGGAAAACATTTAAACTGCAAAACAATTAAAAGTATTGCGATTTTTTGAAAGGTAATTTTTGCCGAAGGCTTTTGACACGAACAATTTAAAAAAGAAGATCTAATGTTAGAAACATGAGGTGCAGATATGCCGAGTTTATTTTGGAAATTTTAGTCGGCTTTGTTTTTATTCTAGAAAACATTCCAAGAAATTGTTTTGCCATTTATTCCTGATTTAAAAAAAACGAAAGATTTTTTGGTATTCGGTAAATTTCAAAGTTTTTTTTTCTGTTTTCCAATGGAATGCATTTTCCAAAAACATTCTTAATTAACATTTAATTATTTATTTATTAAATTCCAAACAACATTAACTGGCAATTAAATTATTTGTGGTTACATTAATAACCATCAGCTATTTTGGTGTCAATACTCGAATGATAATCAATGAAATATTTACATAAATGTTGAGACGTCTAATCAGTTGTTGTTTCTCAAAAAAAAAAAGTTAAATGAAACATTGTATTGAACACAAATGTTGCATTCCAAACATAACGTATATGAATAGGCCAGAAAAACTCCATACCTATTGCCAACAAGAAGTTATATAATCGCACATGAAGAAATATGTTAAACACGAAAAACCTAGGACACGATTATTAATAACACATGTGTGGAAAAACGAAAATCTTTATAAGTGAATGGCAAATAGGAAAACAATGGATCTTTGAAAAGAAAACCAAACGATTTTTGTGAAAACGAAAAAGTTACATTTTTTATGGGTCAGGAGGAAATGTGTTAAGATTCAACGGACTTTTTTGTGGAAAAATTGAGACCATAAAACCTAATTTCCAAAAGATGGATTATGACTTTAAGAATTATACCAATTTGAAAGAAGTAACATTTCTTTATTGTTGAAAATGTATAGTGGATATACACAATCTGATCTGGCACAGCCACAAATTTTCATAGAGTGCCGAGAAGATTTCAAATACCTATTTTGAAGCAAATCACAATTAGTTCGACAATTTCGTATCGATAAGGTGCAAGGAGTATATAAATATCTTTTAATTCAAAATTAGAAAAGTCTTGTTTCCATTAACGAAATTAATGAAACCTTTTTGTTGAGAAAAACCGCGAGATAATAGTACTGTAAGACTATAACTTTGGTTTCGAATTTATTCTGAATCGATCGTATACTTGGCTTGGCAAAGTATTGCCGCTATGAAGATTTCATATCATACCCCCAAAAAAATGAAGGACTTGTCTTGAGAAACGGATGAATTGTGCAAATTTTTATTAATTAAACTGTAACACGCTTTAAGGATGAAAAAAGTCTTGTTTCCATTAACTTTTAATTTTGTTAAACTATTTATCGAACAAGAAATAATAGCCGAAACAGAGTCGAACAAGTACTATATATAGGAAATTGGGGGGTCGCTATTACATTGGAAACAATTAAATTTGTTAAAGAAATGTGATAAAAGTCCCAAAATAAATATTTTCTATAGACACTTTCAATCCATATGGAGAATCTATGTGGATTGAAAGTAGGGCAGTTCTCCGTTCTTCAGTTATCGAAAATATTTTGGCGGTCTAAGGTCTGTTCGGATTTCTTCAAAGAAGTCGCTGTTTATAGACTAAGATATCGTAGATATCTTGAAAGCCTTCCATAAATATTGGATTTTATTATTTCATTCGAAATCGCATTTGATATGGTTTCAGATGTGTCTCCTATACTCAGAATACTTCAGAAGTGGGGTTACTCTGTAGAAAACACCCGAAGATTTTTCAATCTGTAGAAAACCTTCAAAAGGTCTTCCATGTTTTGGAAAAAAACTCATCGGAAGAGTAATCTAATGAAGATCTGTGAAATGTCCTCTAATTCTACAATGAGCCTTCTGTTTCTAAAAAGATTTTTCTCCAAAGGGTTGTTCCATCCATAGAAGACTTCCGAAAGGCACTGAAATCCTGAAACGATCTCCGAATGATGTTTTAGCTCTTGAATATATCAGAAGTGTGTTGTATCCATGGCAGATCTCCGCAGTGTCTAATACCTTAAGTCCTCCAAAGAGTCTTCTATCCAAAGGAGCTCTCCAATTTTTAAAAGATTTTTAGTTGCTTCTACTGTCTACATTTTTAAATACTCCCGTTCTACCATTATTTCCAAATTAAAACAAAAGACTTAAGACACAAGCACCATTATGGAGGAAGAGAGGAATAGTGTTTTACCTCTCGAATATCTCAGAAGAGTGTTCTATCCGTGGCAGATTTTAAGTTTGAATAAAAAATCTACCATTATTTCCAAATTAAAACAAAAGACTTAAGACACAAGCACCATTATGGAGCGAAGAGAGGCCCAATCACCATACAAGGATAAATTTCAGGTTGTGCACACTAATTCCATTATTTACAAATCGTTACTGCACTGGAAATGTCAAAGTTTATACTCCCATGTAAAGAGAAAACGAAAGACTTAAGCAACAAACTTCGCCTCGAATAATTCCCATGAGAAACGGTTGCAGTATTTTTTGTTTTATAAAAACATATTATGTTATGAACACACACGCACAAAAATTACACTTATTATTTGTTGTTGTTATTGTTATCCTTTTTTTATAAATTTTGTATTATAATTTTTTTTCTAAACTGTTCTTAAAGTTAATTTTTTTTCTATTTTACTCACAATTTTGAACATTTTGCTAGATTAAACTTTGATAAACTGTTTGTAGTTTTGCTAAAAACCTTTGCTTATATATCAGCTTCACTACTGAGAGCGTAGCAGCATCAAGCAGACGAGACTGGCAAACAATAATGGCAACAACAATAACAATACTGCAAACTCCGCCATACATTAAAAAACTATATAGAAGATGGAAAAACGTATTTGTAGAAGATACATAGACAAAAAAATCACACACTGGCACACATAAATACTAACACACATGCACACAAACATAGAGAGAAGGGGGATACATATTAATGAAAACATCTTAACTTGGTTTTTTTGTGAAGTGACTTTTATTTCTTTTGTATGGCAAAGACACATCAAATAAAAAAAAATAACAACAACAATTTGTCTACTTTAGTTATGGTGTTGTTGTCATGATGGTCTTTTTATTTTGTCTTTAGTGTTAAGACCATCAGCCAGACAGGCGTATGGATGCTAACACCTTCGCCTGACATCAAATAGCCATACCATAGCTCAAACAAATTTGATGTGAGTCAAACAGCAGAAAAAAAATAAAATAAAACGAAAAATTAATGGTGATGCGCCAAAACCAATGACCAAATTATAGCAAACAACAAAGACGGCAACAACAACAATAGTTCTTCACGAAAAACACTACTATTAACAACTATTCAACTAAAAATGTACTTTATTTTTTATTGTTGTTGTTGTTTTTGTTTGAAGTCAATGAAGTTGGCATGCCCAGTTACTTCTTCAGACATCGAGGCTGCTGTTTTTGGTGAAGGCGTTTTTTCTTCTTTTTGTTGTTATTGTTGTATTTTTCATTACCTTACCAATGGTTATGGGAGATAAATCTTTCGTCGTTGTTGTTATTGTTTTTGTCAGCAATGTGGACAAACGGCCTCTTTACATGGATGGCCCATAAAGTTAAAGGTTGTTCTTTTTTAAATTGGTCACGTATGGCCAGTAACATTTAGCCAAGATTGCATGAATGACGGTTTTTTACTCGAAATGATAAATGATTGGGGACAAATTAAGTGGCTATAGATGGCTATATTAGTAAGTTTGTTGGTGTAATCTTGGTCAATGGAAAAATTTACTAGGACCTCACTATTACTATAACAAATTGTAAATGAGAATTTAACAAAAAAAAAAAAAAAAAAAATAGTTTGCAACCACCAAATTTTCAAAAATAAAATTTTAGCGTGGAGGACAATAAATACGAGCCTGGATTTTTTTCAAAATATTTTTCCATTCGGTTCGGAAGATATATGGGCTATATCTGTACTTCCACACGCATCTACGTCATTCTGAAAAAAAAAACATGAAGAGTATGGTGCAACATTTACATGAAATCGGATGAAAATAAATATGAAAGCTATATCCAAATATGAACGGATTTCAACGATACTTGTCACAGTTTATGTTAGACTAATTTATGCACGTTTTATTCCTAATAGACATGTTTTGGGTCCTACTTAAAATCGGACGAAACCATATAGGGGCTATATTCTAATCTGGAGGGATTTCAAGAAAACTTGGCACACGTTTGGCTAAACTATCTTAAATACGTTGTGTAACATTTTATGTAAATCTGAAACGATTTTCACAAAACATTACACACATCATTCTAGACTTAATTTAGTACGATATGCCAAGTTTCGTCCAAATCTAAAGAAATTTAGGGACTTTGGTATACCATTATATCTACATCTGAACCGATTTTCACGGAACTTAACACACATCGTTCTAGGGTTTATTCAGTACGTTATGTCAAATTTCGTGCAAATCGAAGTATATATAGGGACTTTGGTACACCATTTACATTAAATCGGTGGAACATATATATGGGAGCTATATCTAAATCTGAACCGATTTTCAGGAAATTTTACACACATCATTCTAGACTCAATTCATTACACTATGCCAAATTTCGTGCAAATCGAAGGACATATAGGGACTTTGATGAACTATATACTTTATATCGGTCGAACATATATATAGGACCTATGTCTAAATATGAACCGATTTTCCAGAAATTTTACACACATCATTCTAGACCTAATTCATTACGGTGTGCCAATTTTTTTGGAAATCGAATGATATATAGGGGCTTTGGTACACCATTTACATTAAATCGGTCGAACTAATATATGGGACCTATATCTAAATCTGTACCGATTTTCAAGAAATTTACACACATCATTATAGACCTAATTCATTACGTTATGCTAAATTTCATGGAAACCGAATGATATATAGGGACTTTGGTGAACAATTTACATTAAATCGATCGAACATATATATGGGACCTATATCTAAATCTGAACCGATTTTCAAGAAATTTTACACACATCATTCTAGACCTAATTCATTACGGTGTGCCAAATTTCGTGGAAATCGAATGATATATAGGGACTTTGGTACACCATTTACATTAAATCGGTGGAACATATATATGGGAGCTATATCTAAATCTGAACCGATTTTCAAGAAATTTTACACACATCATTATAGACCTAATTTATTACGGTGTGCCAAATTTCGTGCAAATCGAAGGACATATAGGGACTTTGGTGAACAATTTACATTAAATCGGTCGAACATATATATGGGACCTATATCTAAATCTGAACCGATTTTCCAGAAATTTTACACACATCATTGTAGACCTAATTCATTACGGTGTGCCAAATTTTTTGGAAATCGAATGATATATAGGGACTTTGGTACACCATTTACATTAAATAGGTCGAACATATATATAGGACCTATGTCTAAATCTGAACCGATATTCAGAAAATTTTACACACATCATTCTAGACCTAATTCATTACGGTGTGCCAAATTTCGTGGAAACCGAATGATATATAGGGACTTTGGTGAACAATTTACATTAAATCGGTCGAACATATATATGGGACCTATATCTAAATCTGAACCGATTTTCAAGAAATTTTACACACATCATTCTAGACCTAATTTATTACGCTATGCCAAATTTCGTGTAAATCGAATGGTTTTCAGGGACTTTGGTACACCATTTACCTAAAATCGGACGAAAGTATATATGTGAGATGTATCTAAATCTCAACCGATTTTCGAGAAACTTAGCACACATCATTCTGGACTAAATTTAGTGCGCTATGCCAATTTTCGTGCAAATTAATTGATTTTTAGGGTCTTTGGTGCTCCATTTACATTAAATCGGTCGAACATATATATAGGACCTATGTCTAAATCTGAACCGATATTCAGGAAATTTTACACACATCATTCTAGACCTAATTCATTACGGTGTGCCAAATTTCGTGGAAATCGAACGATATATAGGGACTTTGGTACACCATTTACATTAAATCGGTGGAACATATATATGGGAGCTATATCTAAATCTGAACCGATTTTCAAGAAATTTTACACACATCATTATAGACCTAATTTATTACGCTATGCCAAATTTCGTGTAAATCGAATGGTTTTCAGAGACTTTGGTACACTATTTACCTAAAATCGGGCGGAGCTATATCTAAATCTGAACCGATTTTCGAGAAACTTAGCACACATCATTCTAGACTAAATTTAGTGCGCTATGCCAATTTTCGTGCAAATCGAATGACTTTTAGGGACTTTGGTCCACCATTTACATTAAATCGGACGAAAATATATATGGGAGCTATATGTAAATCTGAACCGATTTTTCCCAATTTCAATGAGGTTCGTCCTTGGGTCGAATAAGTGCCCTATGCCAAATTTCATCCAAATCGGATCATAAATGCGACCTGTACTTTGTCTACAATCTACATGAACTGACGGACGGACAGGCGGACATGCATAAATCGACTCAGAATGTGATTCTATGTATATTATCAAAAGGAACCATGGGTCTATATCGATTCCTTTTGCCTGTTACAAACATATGCACAAAGACATAGTACCACAGTGTGGTGAAGGGTATACAAATTGCATTAATTTTACCGATATTATATATGCGTAAACAATTGTGGCAAAAGTTCATGAACTAGGCGTATACATCCTCCTCCATATATTCAGATCTCAGAATATTCGCTAAACTGCGTTTTATACCTAAATTATATTGACTAAACAAATTTTGATATTTTGATATAGTACTCTTGAAGAATTAAAAAAGTCTTGTATCCATTAACGAAATTAACGCTGATTGTAGCAGTAAGCACAAAAACGAAGGTTTTTTGAAGATATCTTAGTGTCATCTCTGTAAATTATTTATTTATTTAAAAAATAAAAATACTTGTTATTCTATGGTTGTCTTCACTGTAAAGAAAACATCCCAGATATGCTAAATATAATAGACTTTCGAAAGATGTCCATCAATATAAGACTTGCAGGGATTTTTATATAAAAAATCTATAGATTATCTCGAACATTTTTCGGGGGCATTTTCTGCAATGACCAGCCATAAGTGGGGATTTTTTAACAAAATTTTTCAAACTAACGTAGATTGAAAAAATATTTTTCCAGTATCATTAAAGCATCGATTATTTTTCCTAAGTCTATCATAGAACATAATTTTTTTTTCCAAAGACTACAGAAATCTACACATACTATTTTAAAAGTATATTTTTCAATATTTATGGATTTCAATATTTTTTAAACAAAATATCATAAATTTTTGCCGAACAATAACTACATACATGTATAAAATTATGGAACATTTTTTATGTTGCCCTGTATTATGAATGACAACTCAAAAAATATGTTATCTAACACCCAAGCCCATAATTACTACACATGCCCTCATGCGCACAGGTAAAATCACCTTATTGCCCAGATATGCGATCTTGCACATCTCAACCCTTTTTTGATCACATAAATGTTTTGGGCGGTATCTTTTCATTTAGGTTTTTGTGCTTTGAATTTCATATTAGATGCCGTAAGGTTTTTACTTTTGTATAGCAATTTTGTGTTTAATAAAGTCATTCCGTGGCCCTCACAAAGGCCATAGGTTAGTGGTGGATCTATTCATACTTTTGTTTCTCACTCCATGTGATTGCTATTTGATTTTGTTTTGAATCTTTTTGTGTTTT